GTGCATGCGGGAGAGAGATTGAGAGAGAGTGTGTGTGTGTGTGTGCATGCGGGAGAGAGATTGAGAGAGAGTGTGTGAGAGAGAGTGTGTGTGTGTGTGTGTGTGTGTGTGTGTGCGCGTGCGCGCATGCGAGAGAGAGATTGAGAGTGTGTGTGTGTGTGTGTGTGTGTGTGTGTATGCGAGAGAGAGATTGAGAGAGAGTGTGTGTGTGTGTGTGCATGCGAGAGAGAGATTGATAAAGAGTGTGTGAGAGAGAGTGTGTGTGTGTGTGTGCATGCAAGAGAGAGATTGATAAAGAGTGTGTGAGAGAGAGTGTGTGTGTGCATGCGAGAGAGAGATTGAGAGAGAGTGTGTGAGAGAGTGTGTGTGTGTGTGCGTGCGTGTGCGCATGCGAGACAGATTGAGAGAGAGTGTGTGTGTGTGTGTGTGTGTGCATGCGAGACAGAGATTGAGAGAGAGTGTGAGAGAGTGTGTGTGTGTGTGTCTGTGTGTAGCACGAGAGAGAGATTGAGTGTGTAAGAGAGTGTGTGTGTGTGCGTGTGTGCATGCGAGAGAGAGATTGAGAGAGACTGTGTGAGAGAGAGTGTGTGTGAGAGTGCTGTATGTGTGTATGTATGAGAGAGTGAGTGTGTTTGTGTGTGTGAGAGAGAGAGTGTGTGTGTGTGTGAGAGAGAGTGTGTGTTTGTGTGTGAGAGAGGGAGAGAGTATGTGTGCATGCACACGCGCATGTGTGAGGGAGAATGTGTGTGCGCGCATGTGTGTGACTGCATGAGAGAGTGTGTGTGAGAGAGTGGTGGATATGAGAGAGAGAAAGCATGAGTGTATTCTGAGGAAGTGCCGCATTGTCAGAGGGTCAGTGCTGAGGGAGCGCCGCACTGTTGGAGGGTCAGTGCTGAGGGAGCGCCGCACTGTCGGAGGGTCAGTGCTGAGGGAGCGCCGCACTGTCGGAGGGTCAGTGCTGAGGGAGCGGGCACTGTCGGAGGGTCAGCGCTGAGGGAGCGGGCACTGTAAGAGGGCCAGTGCTGAGGGTCAGTCAATGTATGTGGGTGATGGGGCTGTGCATCTGAGCAGGAGCACCTACCCTCTCGTGGGATCTTACCGTGTAACTGACAGCTTCGTCAACTTGCTGAGTATGAAAGTGTGGCAGAGTGAGGGCCAGAAGCAGGGTCAGGATCAACATCTTGTCCTCAAAGTGGGGGACAGCAGAGGGTGGGGGCTTGGGAGGGGGCAACAGGTTTTCGCCTCGGACCCTGAAAACACAAAAGAGAGAGGGGTCACATTGTGAGGCAGGATTCGGGCAAAGGCAGAGGGAGAGAACAGCACACTGCCCCTACTGCCTTACCCCACTCTCTCCCCGTCTCCCAGCCTCTACACCCTCACACCCTCACACTGCCCCTACT